GAGCTTCTGCACTGAAAAAGAGCTCTAGGTTGATGTATGTGATTATTCTATTAATAGGTTATAAAACATTAATTTATACAAGATAAATCTGGTGTACGCTTTTTTGATAAAATTTCTTAGTAAAGAAATTTCATCAGTTAATCCTCAACATAGTGCATCGCCCAGCAATTAATCTGTTATCCGATGGGTAGCTGAGGTATTAATGAAGAGCCTTAAAAGTGAAAATCCCATACTCGGTTCCACCTATTGTAAAATAAATGTGCTTTCAAAACTGCTGCCACATTGCCACTGGAAAACGCCTGCCTGATTAAGATTTAAACCGCCTGATCATTTAATAATTATCACTGATTTTTCGATTAAACAACTTAAATAAATTTCGCTAATTCAAGGTCAACAGCAAGACGAAGAAGATATCAGTCAGCAGCGGACCCGCTACCTGTTCTCAATGGAGGAAGCAGACAGCGCAGTGCCAGTGAAGGACGTCAGGCAAGGTTCTGTGTAAACGATTCTGACAATGGGAGCTCACAATCAAGAATTGGAACAACTCCAAACTGAAAGAGAAAGAGCGATTTTTATGTGCCCGCAAGGTACAGACACAATATAGCTGTGGGAGGCATAGAAACTCTAGAATTCTGGACTTCTGCTGAAGCAAGCTGTTCTACTCCGGTTTAGATATCATGACTTGCGCTCAAGCCGATGTTGATGCTCGGTTCGAGACTAGCGTGGATGACAGACTCACTGCATGGAAATCTATTTGCGGAAGAGTGGCAATCATCCATCTGAAGTCACAACACGCCAAAAGTTTGTAATTTTTGCAAGTCAATGCGCCCAATTTTTAGGGAGAATATGAATTTTTCCTGGATGACATATAAGGAATTCTACGTGAAGTGCCGATTACAGAATACATCATTCAAAAGTGCTATTTCTATGTACATGTTAGGGCAGACACTAAAAACCAGAAAAGTGTGATTGGAGGAAACGGACCTGGCACCTAAAGAATAACGACATGAGTTGGTGGCAGTTTGGTGCAAGCAACGAACTGGCTGTCATGACACCTTACTTGAACATCTAAGCACCCATTACCATACATGATATCGGGCAACTTGTGTGCCAAAGTCGATGGTTGATTTGATCAGGAAGCTCATGGCACTACATTGATAACCGTTTTTATACGATCAGGCAAGAATGTCTCATCTCTTTATGACAGCGGTTTGCAACCGTGCGGTCTCTTGCTTCCTTCCTCTCAGAGAGGAACTCATTTATCAGTTGTCGAAGGAATAAGCGAGAGTGACCTTGACATAGGCTCCATTCAGGGAATTGTCGATTGCGAATTCGACACTTTACCGACTGAGCAACTCCGATACGACGATAAATCTTTTTAAAATGATGGCACTTTAATAAATGGCAATATTAATAACTCACTTCACTTCTTCACTCCAATTTCCATGAACGCTTCTCTTTTTTTGGTCGAGGAGGCAGAAATTCAGTGCTTCCAATATTCCCGATCATCTGTCAGCGTTTCAGCTTTGGCAGAAGACAACCGGGACCTTGAACAGATTCCTTCAGTACACTTGCACAAGGTTCATCTTCGTCGTCTTCCGGCTCTTATGCCGGTCGCCTGGGCATGTAGTGGTTGCTTCGCCTTCATTTCTGGAGGCATGCGCAAGACGTGCCAAAAACAATCACAGCTGTGACTTTTCAGTCTGAAGAAAAAGCGGCTGTACACCAAGGATCTCTGAGATTTCTGTACTCAAAACAGGTCGAGACGAGTTAAACCAGCGATTCGTCTCAGAAAGCCCATTTTAACCGCTTGTACCTGATATCGAAGCTTATTAGCTGCAGTTCATGACTTCATAGGAATGTATATCGGCTTCAACACCGAGAGCTTAGTGTTCAGACTTAGCCTTAATCACAACGGTCCCGTCAAGTTCATGCAGAACGCCACTGGCTACTCCAGTTCGCCGGTCGATCTCTTCCTCCAACTTTTCATCACTAGTAAATACAGTTCCGAGGTACTTGAACTTCTCCACCTGCTCCACTGCCTCTCCGTTAATCTGAAGAGCGACGGACAGGAAAACGAGAAAGCACTCGTTTCACATGGTTTCGTACGCACGCCGGCCACATCGCACTCTGCTACGAACCTTTCAAGTGAGCGCTAGCGATCAGTCTCATAACATGCCAACCAAACTCCTCCACAAACGATATCCTGTCTCGACATTTCCTTCTTCTCTCAGTCAGTCGATTAATAGATAGGTAGAATAGTCGGTTCTTCGTTTCCTCGTTCGCTACTGATAACTGCTTTGGTGTAATTTTAACTCTATGATCGGGTAGTGTAGCCCAAACTACTATCTTTTACATTTTGGACTACTTACCTTGTTCCAGTTTTTCGTTTCCTTGTTACATTTGAATTAGTTTAGTGTGATTTTTTCTCGTGAAATGTTTGCCATATCCCTTATTCATCAGCAGATGATGGACGGTTTGCATTATTCCCGCGAAACTCTGAGAAAGCCCAGTATGATCGCCATGTAACTTTCACTACAGACATTCAGCAAGATGTCAGAAACGAGAATTCTGCGCGACGCTCCAGATCGAAATAAACACCGTCGTTATGTTGCTGTGCTCAGTGTAAAATGGCACTGCTTTATACGCGCTCTGTAAAACCATTAGCTGCAATAATTTTGCATTTTTTGTAAATGCTGAAAAATTCAGTTCCTTAGTTACCCCATTCAAGCAGTAAACTTTCACTGATACACCCATTGTTTTCGCTGTTCTTGATTTTTCCATTCATGTACAACACAAACAGAAGAATGGACAGAACGCAGCCTTGGTAAAAATAATTACCAACGCTGGAAAATCTCTGCTTAACGCTATATACTCTAACGCTGCACCTGGTGTTAACGGATGGGCTGTAGCAACTGGCCACAAATCCCATATGTTTCTAGGCATGCCAATAGACTGTTGCGCGAAATCCGGTCATAACCTTTGTCCAGGTCCACAAACAGGGATAAACCGCATGAGCGAACTCCAACGATTTCTCAACGATCTGAGATAGGGCGAATATTTGTTCAGGTGTGCTTCAGCTGAAAAAGTGGCCACACTGCTCTTTCTGTATTTTGAAGTCAGTTATTCCGCAGCACCTCATTTCTAGCACACCTGCGTAAATTTTACCCGGGAAGGTCAGGAAAATAAAAATAAGGCAATGTCCCAATACTTACTGCATTCACAATAGTCTCCCTTCTTGAACCGAAGTGCTCGACACCCATACTCCAGTCCGTTGGTGTCGTCCCCGTAATCATTTGAAAGAATAGGTACATGCAGCATAAACCTCATAGTCTGAAGCTATAACATTTCACGGCAGATTTCATCGATTTCAGTAGCATTTCCACTTTTGAAGCTTTTTTATGTAGGCATGCAACAAGATCAAAGTGTTAGAATTCTAATGCCTTTGCGCTTCGTTGAGAAGAGTCCAATTATGTCGAGTTCTTACCTTGAGGGCCCTTCAACTAGCTCCTGCTTTTTCTCTGCAAGTGAGGATATGTTTCAGTATTTAACTGTGAGGTCCCATTGTCGGTTGCTTGACTGACGTGCTATAATAACATTGCGGTGTCTATTTTTTTCCATTCAGAACGGGCAGCTCCTACGCTGTTGAAAAACAGTCGTTTTGTCGATCTTCGGTTACCGGTGTCGTGCTATATGCCGCGGGAAGCCAGAAAGTGATGAACTGGTTGTCATCGCCGATTTTGCGCAGCCTGCCTCAGTCCTCAAAAATATGCAAGGCCATTGGTAATTCGAAAGATAATCGAGCCGATATTATTTCTGATGACGACAGTAACATAAGGAGAAGATGGTTAAATTTCACGGATACCTCGATACGACATCCAATTTTCCTCCTTTCTCAGCCGTTCCTGGGACCGACAACGGCAGAACTATCTATAAGTTAGACACATTCAATTGGTTAATGCTTTTCAGCTATAATTTTGAGCCAGCACTTCTGCCTACCGTAAAAGTTCTTTACGAGTCAAGTCGGTTATGTTTAATAGTGCCATTAACTTTAGCGGCTTGGTTGCGTCGAAAGAATTTCTGTTATTGTGACATAAATCATGAATATAGAGAACTGGATAATAGGAAATTTTAATCGATAGAGCACAACTGTAAATGGTTTGGCTATGTAATGAAGAACTAATGGAAGGTACTCTCAATGTGAGTTTCCTTGTAAAAAATACGCAAATAAGGTTTCCTGGAGAAAGACTACAGGTTAGTTGTCTCCATCATGGTGATGATCTCTCATTGTCGCATCTTACGAATTTGAAGTTTAGATTGCCGTAATTGTTTCTTTCGCAGCGAAGCGGGATCATTATGCATACTTACCTAAGCAACTGTCTCACTGAATCCAAAGAAATACCATCATCGGACAAATTGAATGAATTTGTTTTGTTGGTTTTATCTAGACAGCTTCTAGAAATTTTAGTCCGTGCCAGAGGAAACGAACTTATCATATATCTATAAATGAATAAGTTTATTTGAAATTCTTCGTCCTTTTTTAATTGTTGGTTTTTGTACTGTTTTTGTGCAAGATTTTCAAGTTAAATATTATCGTATGACCGCGCTAGCTGTTTATGTCAAAGAAAATATACTGTACGTTGACAGTGCGTAGTGATTGTTTTCGTGTGATGATCTCATGATCAATGCGTTTCGTCGGTTTTCGTGATGGAAAACTAGTAGGTTTTGCGTAGAAAGAAGACCGAGTATGGCCCTTTTTCACATAAGTAAGTTTTATGCGCATCGCGGTTGCTAAGCTGATCGCTTTTGGTTTTCGTAGGCTTCGCGGAGATCGGTTAAAGCGAGTTGTTGTTCCGTAGGAATATGCTTGTTTTGGACAGGCGTTCGTGGACGAAATATGATACTTTCTTATGTCAGAATTATGGTCCATGAAAAGCGGTGTTCTTATAAGGCTTGCAGACGTTCGTTGGTCGATGCTGTACATCTGACCGCGTTTTTAGATGAATGATGACAGGGAGAAGGATAACGCTTTCGTCGTCAACGCTGCTGCTGCTGCTGCTGGCATCTCACTGAACAGTGACAACGCGGAAGACAAGACTAAGATTCTGGACTTTATCGTCAAGGATTTGAAGGATTCGTCGGAAAACATCGACTCCGCTAAACTGCAAGCCGCCGAAACCTTGCTGTTGCTAGGCAATGAGCCGAACGGCTCGGAACCGCATGATACTGCCGTACTCACGTCGAAACTGTTGGACAACATTTTAAACCTCACTACTTCATCATCGTCGTCGCCTACAATTTCGTCATTCCTTCCTTGCACAACGGTGTGTGCTTCATCGCCACCGTTCTGCTGTCCGGCGGTCGCGACCGCCATCACTTTTACGGACGCTGTGGCACTCACGACGGCGACAGCTACGGTCATGGCCATGGCTACCTCGACCCTCGCCTCGCCGGCGCTCAATGGCGACTGCGAAGTCGAGGCGGGAAACCCTGATGGACTGGCGATGGCAGCATCGGCCGCTGCAACGGTGAGCCTGTCGACCGACAACCTGTACTCCGCCTGTGTCCCGTCGTCATCGGCATTATTCCCAACCGAAAGCTTTCATCAGCTCGTAGAGCATTTGCCCGTGTTGTCGGCCGCCGACTTCAAGCACATCTTCCGAGACACGGATTTCTCAACTTTCGGTAAATATTTTACTTTTACTTCAACAAAAGAACTTGCTAATACAGTTTTTATGCGGAATATAATTTTTCTTCAACATAATGCTGCGTCTCCTGCTCAAAAGTTGGACCTAGGGTGATTCGAAACGTTCGGCATTTTGTAAAAACTATGCCTGAAGAGGCAACTCTTGCTAAAGGAAAACTTAAATTAGTCTGTCGAACATAAGTTCTTGTATGTTTTATGGTATCATATTGGCACAAAATATCTGATCGTTGCAGAAAAAAGTATTTTTTGTTGTTTGGAAATTATCAGAGTTTAAACAGCAAACTAAGCCAGACTAATGTCTTACCTTTAGAAATGGTTAATTTCAGCCAGTTCAAGTCTACCTCATAATTATGCTTAAGAAACTTATTTCTAGTAATTTGATTTCTTTGACCCCGTGCTGCACATTTCTGAATATTGTACAATTACTTTATTTCGTCGAAAAATAACAGACCACGTAAATGAACCCAAAAAACAGTTCGCAAACCAATGTCATGTGATCAAAGGTTGTTAGTCTTTTGTCACAGCGAAAGAATTATATTGAATGAAATTGTTATTATTGAAATTATTTCTTAAACAAATAATGTTGAGGACCTATAATGTAGAATTAATCGGTCGTGTTTGGTTGGCGCCGTTTCGAAATTGCAACGGCCAGACTTCACACAGCTCTTCCAAGAGCAGATTTTATGATTTCACTTATCGCAGTTTCTCCTTGCTTCCTCGCAATAATTACGAACGATGTTTTATTCCATTTGGTACACGCCTTATGTGCTGGTACATAGGTATCGCAGTATTGATGTACTCAGAGTTGTTTGGTGGTTAAACTGGGTAAAGATGTCAGTTTGCACCTGTATTATTGTGGTGTGATGTGTGTTTTTTAACTAAGACTCGTTGGTAAAGTACTCTTGACAGCGTTTTGAATAGTCGTTTTTATTACCGTAGTTTTCTGTTTCTAAGTATTAACAGTACCAACTATTAAAATATCGTTGGTAATGAGCGCGAGGTGACTTTAGCAGATAAAATGATGCAGATGCATCTGGCGCTAAATGTGCTTTGATACCATAGACCCTTGACATGCTTAAATCCCCCTCCCCTCCGGCGGCAACCAGGGACAAAGGGATGGTGCAGTACACCGTAATATTTGCTATTAAAGTTATACGTTCTTTAAACTAGTCATATACTTATGTTCATTGCATTTTTATCATAAAATACTTGAGTTTTTTGTCTCGCGTAATGAGGAACCTGCTGTAGTACATGCAGGTAAATAGTTTTAATTTAGTATATGAACACTGAGAAAGTTTAGGAAAACAGTTGTCTTTTAACCGCAGTCCAAAGTTATTGGGTATTTGGATGCCCCAAGGTTTCGGCATCCAAGAATTTCCAACTCTGCTTATGACCTTTTTGGATCAGCGTTCAGTTGTTGAACGTCAGAAAACCTCCAGACATACGTGGGTTCTAGAGATCCAGTCGAGTCACTCGCCTTTTATCCTTCTAATCTAGGCGGAGTTCATCATGGAAAAGTAACGTAGGAGAATGCACTGTTTTGTGGTCGCAAAGCTGTGATGCCTTACAAGACAATAAGGCACTTTTGGCTGATGAAATAGAAACGGATGTTAGCGCTGCATAAGCTTCATGAAAGGTTGGATGCTACCTTGGGAGGCCAACATCTTAATGGTTAAAGACTTGTTTCCCTTTGCCTTTTATAGTCGATGCTTTATCATCGGTGCGTTGTGTCGAATCACCCAGGTAAAACATGCTAACGCAAAATTGGGTTAACAACAGCTTCATCTTCTGGCAAAATCAACGTGATTTATTACATTTTATGTGCCTAATGCAGTTCTTATATTGTGAAGTTTATTTACTTTATGCCGCAATTCAAGTGCTTGGGTTGGAGAACAGGGGTATGCTGACAGCGCTACATCTGACGTAATTCCATGTTATAGACTATGATAGTGAACACTCCATTTACAGTAATGACATTCCTCTTTATGCACTCGGGATGATAATCTTCCATTCGCTGGATTCGTTTATAACAATTAGCACAAGTTCTGCTCTTCTGGATGGCCGCATGTCAGAAAGATGCTTAGCTTATGCTAATGTTGCCTTCCTTTCTAGAAACGACCCAGACTCACATCTCTGATTATACAAGCGAAATAGTTTGTTCGAACTGATTCACTGATTATGGAGCAATCTAGTTAAAAATAACTTTCCTACTGTTATGAAATAGTCCTGCGATCTATAAACGCGGTACTGAGTGGATTGTTTTCTCGTACTTGCAGTGGGGAGGGTGAAGGTAGTGATTGAGGGTTATCAAGTCTGTGGACCATCAGGTGTGTGACTGACTTATAAGCAATACCTTTGACAATGAAGACAACAGACTCAACTCAAAGGAAATGGTCTGATGAATGTAGGGAGAAAAGAAAACTAACGATTAGATAACAGTAGAATGTCTAAACAAATAACAGCAAAGTTCATAACGGCTTTTTTCTCCAGTTAGCGCGTCTGGGATGCAGGGTCTGATTATTTGCTTTTTAAATAGATATACTAAGCCAAGTTTAAGAGGCTAAAGTTGTTTGCCGCAACAGTCCCAATCCTTTCCAATGTCGAATGACGACGTAATTGGTTATTACCTTCACGAGTTAAAATGGACGGAGGACTAACGCTATTAAGTTCAGCTTGGAGACGTTCCTCCAACACCTCCCTGTGACCCATCGTTGTTGTGCTGTGAATATCACTCGTTTTACTGGAAGTTTCAAAATCATTTTCAGGGTCTATGCACCAATTTTAATTACCTGCTCCGTTTTAATGATCTGATGAATTATTTGCACTGTTTATGGTCAGATATCATTCTTTGTACGTCGGATAGACTCCGTACGATTATGGATACGTGCATTTGATGTTTTCAGTGGCAACTGATACCTACGTTAAATCCTGTGGTTTTCTCCACATTTCGGATGATACTGTTTTTTTCTTCAAATGAACCCTACCCGCCATGGTTTTTACTCATTAACCGATCACTTCTGA